GTCCGCCCGCGGGGACCCCTGAGCGCATCGGTGCGCCCCGGAGTCCTGGAGGCTGGATCGCGGCTCTTGGCCGGACGGCTGGAGCGTAACAAAGAAAAGTCTTCCTTTTCCAGGTTCTCTTTGATCTACTTGGGCGCTTTTCTGGGGGGTCTTAACTGCTGAACTCCTGGGCTGATATTTTCGGCTTCAACCCTGGATCAGGGTTTTCAGGCGTATTGGTGCCTTTCGGAAGTAAGTGCAAAATTTGCCGGAGAACTTGGCGAGAAGGGGAAGAGGGAAGGACTGTTTGGCGATGGCTGGTTTTGTTTTTGGAGTAAAGAGTGTTTGCTTTGGAAAAAGAAATTCTTGGGTCTGCAAATTCCGACTTGGGATTTCTGCAAATTCTGATGAGATCGCCGGCTTTGGCTTGTGGTCACATTTTCTCTCTTTTTGTTGAGAAAGCCTTATAATAATAACGTGTGCTCGCAAACACGTTGCAGACTCTTCGTGCGCTCCGAGTGACAACCGCTGTGTGCCTAATAGTTGCTGACAGATCTCTTTTTTTACTCTGGTTGTTTCTCATTGGCATTTTAGTGTCCATTGAGTATCTACTCATGTTTTGTCCATGAGAAACACAGACTTGACTAAATGTCATAGATGTAGGTATTACCCTAAAACTGTCACACATTTTCTTTTATTTTACAAAACATCATTTGGCAAAATTACATCTGCTGAGGATCTTAGCAGCATGGGGGGAAATATAGGATTCAGAGGTCAGGTGAATTTCAGAAACTTTTGAAAAGGCATGTGAAGAGAAAAACATTAAAATTAACTCACAATATCTGTCTTTTGAAACAACAGATGTATATACATATATATTTTATTACATAACAAATATTTTGTACAAAAACCCAAAGTAATCTCTAAGCTTTCTCTCTCAAAAGTTGTTTTACTATGTGATGCCTTTCCTAGTTAGGTAAATTATAATTCCAGACCCAACTATCTTTCAAATTATTGATTAGTATTTTACATCTGAAACACACACTTCAGAAAAAATCTTAAATTTCTACTCTTCTTCTATAACTTTATGGCATCACTTGGTAGCTAGTATTTTATGTACAAAGCTGAAAGTTAAGATGTGTGAATCATTGATAATGTTGTAAATTATTTTAACAAGTTTTATATAAATAAGCTAAGGCAAGATATTCTTATAGCTAGATCTGGAGCAGACAGTGTGCTACACACACCTTTAACTTTTTCAGTTACATTATAGTAACCAAAATGAAAAAGAGAAAACACTGGCTTTTCTTTATCTCCATACTGTAAAATATTTCATATGCCATGGACAATTGGAAGTTTTACTTTGTGTTTGCTTAATCAGGGTTTAGGTTAATAATTAAATGATATAGTATCTACTGCCTTCCAGGAATAGCTCTATCTTTGTAGTGAAGAGACTAACGTATATGAACACTTCTAATACAAATATTCATCTTTCTTCTGCAGTATCTTGTCTCTTCATCTACACCATTTTAACTGTACTGTTCTCATTATCATAATTCCTGTGTCAAATTGAAAGCCGCCACTTGCTTTCAAGCAAGGGAATTTGGTGTGTGTATGTATGGAATATACATTTTTAAAATTTATACAAACATTGCTGACCCTGTTCTAGTTAAAAGCTTATTATATAAGGTTTTCATTTCTTGATTTCCTCCCCTCCCCCATGCTGCCTCAACTATTTTAGTGTATATCCTGACCTAGTAAAGGACATTGCAAACTGCAGGTGGAGATAATATCATTTTGTAATATTTATATTCCATTCCTAGTATGGCATCTTCACTTAGAGAATGCACTCAGCAAATGCTATTAACATAGCATTTTAGGAAGTTTTTTTTTTTTTCTTTTCTTTTCCCTCTCATCTTCCTTCTCCTGTTACTTGTTATGCTTCTGATCTGGCGGATAACCAGAGATCTGAAAACCAAACCGTACCGAACCAAACCAAGAAAAAACAAAACAAAACCAAAAGCAAGAGAATACCGTGATTGGGTCCTGACTGAGATACAGCCCTTTATGTAATTATGGCAAGCTCGTAATCTCCTTAAGGGCAGTGGCGGCTTAGGATCGGTTTAGATTTCCCACAATGCCTGATACACAGCCTTGTACCCAGACGCAATACACTTTTGTGGAATGAAACTACAAAATGTTAAGTTTGGCAAAGTCTAGTAGCTAAATCCTATTCCCTCTTTCTGCTGTCCCCCCAAACCTGAGTGCCCATCACCTCCGGGACTGAGATGCAGTCTAAAGAGCACAACAGTGCAAAGGACTGGGAATGAGGAATCTGGGCTCCATTCTAGGGTAACCTAGCTGAGAGCCTCTTCGCGTCAAGCCTGAGTTGTGTCTGCCAGACAGCAGGGCTGGGGCGAGATTATCTGCCTCTAGCAACTGCCACGGCCAAGCCTCCCAGGAGAATTCATCCTTGGTGGGGTGGGAAAGGGGGCCAAAGGGTGGCCAGCCCCTGCTCAGAAGAAAACTAGGTGGATCTCGGACTTTGTCGACTCGTTTAGAGTGGGAAATCCAGCCAATGTAAACATTTCCAGCTGCCGCTCACTGTGGGTGAACTTCTGCCCAGGAATTACCATTAGCAAAGTTACTGAAAACATAAATCTTGTATTTTTGAGGCTCTCGAGGCTCCAAATTAGGAATGAAACGAATGCCCCCACCCCCGGCCCCCCCAGCCTCCCCTGGCGATCGAGTTGGGTCCTTTAAATGCTCCCTTCGGGAGCCGCTGGGCTGGTCCTTCCTATGCACGTCCGTGTGGAAACGCGGCCACGATGGAGGGTTCCGGAACTCGGAGGCTGCGCGTTGGCCTGGCAACCGCGCTACTCTTCTGGCGGGGGAGGGGCGAAGGGGGCCGCGGGAGGACCGCGGGCCTGAGCTCTGCGCGCGGGGTTCGTCCTCCTGGGCTTGCTGAGTTGGGTTCCCCCTCTGTCAACTCGGGATGGCGTCTAAAGCTTCGTCCGCCTCCTCTCCTGGGCCGCGGCCCCTCTCAGGTGAAGACCCGCCGCCTCTGTAGGCGTCCCAACCTGAGAGGAGCCAGGCGACGCTTTCCAGAACTCCCTCGCTCGGGGTGGTAATCCGGGAACAAACATTTGTAGGGTCTTTAGGATTCATTCATTAATAAATCAAATCGGTCGTGTAAATCTATGTCGACATCAGAAAGGGTGCTGCAGATACTTGTCAAGCGCTTCACCTCATTTGAACCCCACAGCTGCCGGGGTTAGAGGGGATCAGCCCTACGCTTGGGGTGGGGGTGGGGGTTTGTCTTTTGTCGTATCAGGTCTCAGTGGCTGAGACCTGAGTGTGTAGCTCTTTTGGAGTTTGCAGTGATCTCACGTAAGAACTAAAGAACCCTGACATCTGGGGTATCGGGGAACCAGAAAGAGTTAACTATGAAGAAACAAAATTCAAGGTAGAAAGAGGGGTTCACTAGTGGAGGCTGCCATGGAGGTATGGGTGTGCCAGCCATATCTCGGGTAATCCTGAGGGTAGCCGCAGGTGTTTGTTGTCACTGCGTGTGGGATGGTGTGAAGGGTGGGTCTGACCCGGGGCCTCGCTGCAGGCTTGGATGATAGGAAACTTTCACAGCCTCCCAGATCCTTTGATGCCAGCTTCCCCCCCCCCCCCCGGAGAAGAAAGGCTTTTTTTTTTTTGTTTTTTGTTTTTTGGCTGCAGCTTTGTGGAGTTTTCATTTTTAAAAGCAAATCCCCAAGTCGCTGTTGCCTACGTCACCTGTGCCGCTCTTTTTCGTAGCTCTGGCGTGGATGCTCCATTCACCTGGTCTTTGGAGACTCGGTTGCATTTTAATGGCGGCAGCAGCTGCTGGGTAAGCAGCCGGAGACTGGATAGTACTCCCGTCCGTAGAAGATCGCTCTCTCCCGCCCCACTGCCACCGGTTCTGTGGCTGTGCTCTTCGCTCTGTACCCCTCCACATTTGAAGGGAGAGGAAGATGCCACTGCCATTTGGATTGAAACTCAAACGCACGCGGCGCTACACCGTGTCCAGCAAGAGCTGCCTGGTTGCCCGGATCCAGCTGCTCAATGATGAGTTTGTGGAGTTCACACTGTCAGTGGAGAGCACTGGCCAGGAGAGCCTGGAGGCTGTGGCCCAAAGACTGGAGCTGCGAGAGGTAAGTGGCCAGTCTTTCTCTGGCCTGATTTTCCTCTTGATGTACCAGCCACTTGGAAGGCACCCTGGCTGTCTTCTCTGAAAGGTTACCCTACCTGAGCTGTACCTGCCAACCTCCCTTCCCATAAGAAGGTATAGTGATAAAGAGCAAGAGGTACTTTTTTTGGAGTGCCCCATCAGAGATTTAACAGTGCTTGAGTTTGAAATTGTGTATGTGTTTTCCCGTAATGAAACCCATGGATATGAATGCAGTTTGGATTATCCAAGTTCTCATTTTCTTTTTTTAAGATTTACTTATTTATGCACACAAGAGCTGGGGTACAGGATGTCAGAAGTGTGGGGAAGAGGCCGGGGGTACGCGTGGGGGGAGAGGATTCACCAGAGACAGAGTGGGGAGCAGAGCAGGGGGATCTGCTGGCGAGGGGAAGCAGGTGGGACAGATGTCTGCTGTGCCATATGGGTCAGCTCCCTGGCCAGGGATCAAACTCTGGTGCTGCAGTGGCTGCAGTCAGCTTAATAGTGTTGTGCTTTTACCAACTGTGCCAACAAGGAGGGCCCCGAGTTCTCATTTTCTAATATTTTACATGGATCTTTCTGACTTAGCAGCTTACTAACTTCATTCTTCTATTCACTCGCTCACTTAACACTGACTCCTTTGCATAGGTCAGGCCAAAAGTGTAGTGACACATCACCTGAGTTAGACTTCTGGTTCCCGCACCAACTTTGGGCAAGGTTTGTGACCTATCTGAGCTCTAGTTGCTTCTTCTGAACTTTGGGAATAACAGGGCCTGGCCCTCAGTGTTTGTGTTAATGTGCATGCAAAGCCAAAGCCATATCGCTAATAACTTTTCTACAATCATAGGGTGATTTGTCCTGGAAAAGCCCAATCTAGGCAGGAGAACATTGTGTGGAGTCCTCCAGTACCCACATGGTATCTTATATTTAAAATGTTACCTAAAATAATTATGAGAGAAGGGGCCCTAATTAAACCTTGGATCGTTTTAGCCTTTGTGACAGCCTGATTTTGGGGTAGAGAAAGGTGGAGAAACTAGCTATTTCATGTAAAAGCCCATGTGATGATATTCCTCACTGGAAATCCAAGTGATTGTAGGAGTTCATAAAAAGTCAGGAGTAGGCCCTCCCTGGTGGCGCAGCGGGTTAAAGCACAGCACTGAGAAACAAAAGCCACTTCCACATGAGTTCGATTCCCGCCTGCCCCGGAGGTGACCACATGGCGCAGCAGACCTCTCATGACCCACCCGCTGCTCCCCTCAGCAGTGTGCTTCTTCGATCTGTCTGTTCTGCACACCCCACTCTGTCTCTGGTGAATCCTCTCACCCTCCGCATCTCTGGCCTGTACCCCAGTTCTGTATGAATAAATAAATAAATCTTTTAAAAAATTTAAAAAAAAGTCAGGAATAGATAAATTGCCCACAGTGATCATTCAGCATTGAAGACCGATTAAATGCCAGGCACACATGTAGTGATAGCTCAGCCTGGTGTCTAGACTAATGAGGAGAGAGGCACGATCCACTCGTGCTGTCGCAGGGGAACCAGAGGTGCTGCAGACCACCCGGAGGGCCAGCCAGGAAAAGCTCGCTGGGCTGGGCTGGCCTGGCTGAGTAATCGGAGCTGGGTTCTGAAGGAGGGCTAGTGTGATCCTATCCTGGACTGAAAAGCCTGCGCTGGGAGGCCAGAGACTCAGAAGCCTCTCATCTGCCTGAGCCTGCAGAGGAAGAGGAAAGGCGGAGGCAGCAGGGCCACATAGTCATGGGTTTTTGTTGAGGGATTTGGACTTGTCTTGAAAGCAGTAGGGAGGTTAGTGAAGGGAGTTATTTATTTTTTTAATGCATACAAGAGCTGGGGTATAGGCCAGAGGTGAGGGGGAGGGAGGGTGAGAGCTTTCACCAGAGACAGAGTAGGAAGCAGACAGGCTGATCTACTGAAATACACTGCTGAGGGGAGCAGCGGCCAGGTAGGAGAGGTCTGCTGCACTGTGTGGGTCAGCTCCCTGGCTGGGGATTGAACTAGTGCTACAGTGGCTGCCAGTAGCTTCGCAGTGCTGAGACTTAACCATTTGCGCCACCAGCGCCTAGTGAAGTTTTTTTTTTTTTTTTTTTTTAGTATGGCACAATAAGACTGTTTTGTGAAGAGTGAGCCTCTGGAAAATGATTAGAAAGGTGTAGATTGTGGTTACCTAGACTTGGAGGGGGATGGGGAGAAGTGGGTGGAATCTGGAGATATTTAGGATCTACCTACCTAGCGTCCTGGGAAGGGGTTAGCAGGGGTCTAGATTGATACTAGGTTTCTATGGTAGTAAATGGTGGGAATTATACCTGAGAGAGGAAACAGAAGGAAGAGCAGGGACCTCCTTGGTGGTGCAGGGGGTTAAGTCTCAGCACTGTGAAGCTTTCTGGCCCCTGCAACACTAGATCCATCCCTGGCCAGGGAGCTGACCCACAGGGCACAGCAGACCTCTCCCATATCTCCCACTGCTCCCCGCAGCAGTGTGTTTCTGTAGATCTTGCCTGTCCTGCTGCCCACTGTCTTTGGTAAATCCTCTCACTCCTGCCCCCCTCCCCCCTTGTTCCCACCTCTGGCCTGTACTCCAGCTCTTGTACAGCTCTTGATGCATAAATAAATAAAAAAAATGCATCTTTAAAAAAAACTAAAAGGAAGAGCAGGTTGGACGGGGTCAGGAGAGGTGTGTGGTAAGTTCAGCCCGGAAGCCCTGAGCTTGAGACGCCAATTGGAGAGGGTGCTCAGGCTGAGGGCTGTGTGGGTCTGGCCTCAGGCCAGAGATCCAGGCTGGAGGGAGAGGTTTGGGAAGCATCAGCTGAGGCTGGTTCTCCAAAGCTGGGAGGGGTATGAGGCTGCTGAGGGAGAAAAAGTAAACAAACAGCCTCATCTGGGTTGAACAGAGGGGAGAAGTCCTTGGCAGGAGATTAAGTAGCCCAGGAGGGAGGAAAGCAAACCTGGACAGCTGGCTTCAGTGACCTGTCTGTCCTGTATACTTCCTTTTTCCCATCTTTTTAGCTTCATTTACCCATTTATCCTATTTTTGTTTCCCCTTGTAATTTTTCCTTCATGCGAAGTCTGCCTATAACCCCTACAGAATCAACTTCTTGAGGAACTGTGGCTAATTTATTTTTGTACCCACAGTACCAGGCTTGGAATGTGCACAGTGCACACAGTCTGTCCTGAACACAAGCATTGCTGTTTCTGTTAGGCAAGAGGCCCAGCGAGGTTGCCATACCCTCATTTGAGGTTATCAGGCTCCGGGATAAGCAGCTTCAGTCAGCTGCGGGTGGGTAGGACTGATTTTCAGCAGAAGGGAGAAAACCTTCAGTGCGAAAGCCACGATCCCTAGAAAACATCCTGCCTTGGACAGACCCTTTCCTCAATTTCCAACGTTTAGCCACAGTCCTGGTGAGACATTTAGTTTGTATAGTAAACTTTCCCTTTCAGAGCTCCAGAATTCCTGCTCTGTGGCATGTAAACAGTAGCTCTAAGCCTCAGGTCTAATCTTACCAAAGACTGTTCATGATAATCTGATCAGGGCAATACCTGTTCTTTGAGTACATCCCTGGATGCAATGAGTGACACTGTTCCCTTCTTATCTTGCACCATCCTCCCATCAAGAAGACTCAGAATTATCAAAGCTTGTAGTTCGGACTGATAAGCTCTGCTGCTGTCCATGTTTACATTGAGAGGAGAAAGTCTTTGCTTTTCTTCCTTAAATGAACACCATTTCAATTCTGTAAGGAACTATCTGATAATGCCGTTATAATCCTGTACCTGAGGCTTCACCAGTAAAGATGGAATTTGATTTCTTAAGCTAGATGTGTGAATATATGATGTTCAGTAGTCTTCATATTTGGGGGAATATTTTATAATACATTCAGGAACAAAACAGTTAATAAAGGTTGATATACTTTCATCCAAATCAGTTAACTTAGATATTTTCCTTTATGCTCACCATATTGGAACTGTGAAAAATGATTTAAAAAATAAAAAAAACAAGATCCGCATAGGAAAATACTGTTGTTCACATAGCTGTTCCTTGGCATTGAGCTTCACATTTTTTCCAGAGGCGATGGAAAAGACTTGATAGAACTTAAGGAAAATTAGAAGACATTCTTTCCAGCTCTGAAAGTGTAGGTTATGGAGTCTGATTAGATGGTGAGACAAGAGGTGTCAGTTAGGCCAAGGCATTCCTGTGGGGCACTGTCACCTTAGAGTGAGGTGGTCAGACTTCCAATACCTGGTTCCTCAGCAAGTTTGGCCTGCATTTCCCCAGCTTCCTGACAGGAATATTTAAAACCAGGATGCTAGCTTGGTGACTGGCAATGAGATATGGCAATTCCAAGGGTCCCAAGTATGAGTACTGTCTGGCCAGGCCCTGATCGCTCTGTAGGCCAGCCACCTGGGAGCTAAAGCAAGCTGGGAATTGCTTGGTGAGGATGGAATCAGAGAAAGGAGATTGCCCCCAAAACCTTTACGTGTTTTCATAATGGGGCTAGCACTGCCCCCAGAACCAGATAAGTTCCTTTGAGTCTGGGACCTCTTTGTGGGTAAGACTCAGGTGGGCATGGCCTTTGTTTGCTTCTTGAGAAGACTTGTAGTAGAATGGTTAGTTGAGTCAAAGGGCTTGGAGTTTGCCACTGCCACTTCCTAGTTGTGTGACTTTGGGCGATTTAATTTCCCTAGTCGACAGTTTTCATCTGTAAATTGGGGATAGTAATAGTATCTACTTGATGGTAGCTATGAGGATTAAATGTCAAATGTCAAATATTTTGAAGAGGAGCTGGTATTTCAGAAACTCAGTAAGAGTTGATTGCCACAACTGTTCCTCGTGACTCCCATTCGATGTTACAGTGACTAATTTCTCTTCAGATTAACTCTTCCTACTTTTGTTAGTATCTTTGTTTCTTCCATTTACTAAGAGGATGCTTACTTGTTTGTAAACTTTTTATAGTACAGACAAGTACAGTCAGTGCC